TCTTCTTAATTTCAAATCAATCGGATAAACTAAATTTTGTTTTAACCACAAAATCCCAGGAAGCTACCTGTTTTTAAATTTAAAATACCCACCTATATATTCTAGTAAGTAGGTACAAGTATATAACTTACACCAAAATTTTAAAAAAGCATGTCCTATGATAGAAAAAAAACTTTGTTATTTAATGTTTAATTATCTATAAAATAAGGATTAATACAAGCTATGAAGAAAAAGTCAAGACATACACATCCTTTCACAAAGTTTTTAGGCTGGTCAGTTATTTCAGTTGGTTGGAATGCAGCCTTTTAACACCAAGGTCATGGGTTCGGATGCCTATAGAGGCCAGCCGCCAAAATAAATAAATAAATAAAATAATATTTAAAAAGTAATCAGACTGAAACCTAAAAACCTTATTCTACTAAACATGGCAGTTTATTCAACCTAAGGAGTCCCTGAAGTCTCAATTTTCTATCTTTAGATTGAGTTAAATAACTCTTGCACTTTCCAACTTCACATTACAAAAAAAGTCAAGTTATTGTGTGGGAATTCCATGAAACATCTCAGAAGGTGCCATATAAATGTAAAGTATTATTAGATAATGTTTTCTCTTTCATTGTTACATACGGTTCAAATGAAAACTGTTTGAATATAAATATTTTTCATTTTCCTATTCACTTTCTCCTCAAAAATAGCACTAGATCTAGATGGAAAAGGAAACTTAGTAACAAAATATTAGAAGGGGGGAAAAGAGTTATCAATGCAGATCAGTTAATGATGATAAAGATCCATACATAAAATTTTAAAATAAGCCAAGAATCCTTTTTTAAAGAGCTTTTTCAAATTCAAAATCTTGCCAATAAGCAGATGTATTTTGGTGTAACAACACACACTCATCTGGTAAAAACTGAACTTTTCCTAAATTCACAAAATTTAAAATATGCCTTTTACCTTCTTTTCATGCCACACTGTGCAGGTACAACATACTGCAGAAGTGCTGAAAGTATTTATTACATACTTACTAAGGTCAAAGTAACGATGAAAACAAAACTGTAAGCTTTTAAAAAACTTACAGTTAAGTAGTCTGCTGTGGATTGAATTGTGTCTCCTAAAGTCTGAGTACTGAAGCTTAATCCCCACTGCAACTGCTCAGGGTGGGAAATCCTATTATGCTGATTGAGAGGTGGGGCCTTGAAGAGGTGATTAGATTGTGAGGACCATGCCATCTTAAATGGATTAATCCATTGATGGTTTAATGGTGGTCATGGGTATGGGAGAGCCAGTGAGGAGGTTAGCTCTGTCGCAGCTTCTCCATTCTGCCATATGAGACACCTGCATCACTGTTATCACCAAAAGGCCTTCACCAGATGTGTTCCGTAGACTTTAAACTTCCTAGCCTCTGAAACTGTAAGTGATAAATTTCATTTTGTCACAAATTACCCAGTTCCAGTTATTTTGTTATAAGCAACAGAAATGGACTCATAGCCTTAGTGCAACCAATTTCATAAATTTAGCATTATTAATCTTTATAAAAAAGATTAGCCTACAGAAATAAAGCTCACCGTTCATTTAAAAACTCAAATGCTGGACATGTTTATAAAAAGGAATAAATCATCTTAGTTGCTCTTTCAAAAAAATAATAAACTCTGGTGGGTATTTTTGGTTTTTTTGCTTTTTTTAAAAGTAAAACTAAAAATAGCATTGCACTGAGAAACATATTTTATGCATACATACCAAATTCCAAATCTTTTTAAAGCTTTAATAATTTTAATTTCTTAAATATCTACAATAGACAAGACTGTCTTTTTTTAAAAAAAGAACCCAATGGGGCCGGCCCGGTGGCGCACTGCGCTAGTGCGCCGCTTGCGAAGCGAGGAGGCGCTCCCGCCGAGGGTTCGGATCCCACATACAGACCGGTTCCCGCTCAGCCGCTCACTGGCTGGGCGAGGCG